ATATATTTTTGTCAAATTTTTATGATATATTCAAACATATATTTTATTCAAAAATAAAAACATCATCGCTTTCTTAAAATCACATAGAGCCATATTATAACATCGACTGAGATAAAGAATAAAATGAAATATTAAAATCACGATGTATCTCGCTGCATTGCGCGAGTACGCTTCTAGTAATGCATTAAGTACTACTACTTTATGTATTCGGTCTTAAAATATCTTAATATATAATTAAAATAACATATAGTACAAGTTACCAATGCACATTATTACCTTTTCTTTTCATGTTCCAAGATATTTTTGACATCTTTCACTCATGTTTTCACTCTCTCATACCTCTATGTCTTCTCCTCATCCCCCAATGTGAGATTCAAACTGATATTCACCATGAGTTATTAAAAGTTCTCTCATTCATCTCTCATTTAATTGCTCTAGAACTCTCGGTCTCGATCTCGATCTCTTGATTATTTGCTCTTGGTGTAAATCAAACACATTTGTGGAGTCGTTTAAATATGTTGGATTTTAAATATATTGGATTTTAAACTATCATACAATTTTTTTCATCGATAGATGTAATTGGAACCATAACTCTTATTTATTCAAATTATATTAATATGTAAAGACCAAGTGTAACTTATATCATCGTTAAATTTTCTTTAATAAAATCAGTGAAACTTCAAAATCGTTAAAATTCACGGCTCCCCCCGTTACACGGGTACACAACTAGTTATTTTTTTGAATGAAAAAACAATTAAGCTTTCACATTTTGAATGATTAAGACCATAATTTAAAAAAAAAAAAAAAAACTAGACCATCGAACTTTTACCAGTCGGTCAATGTAACTTTTTTTAAGTTAAAATGATGTAGGTAACAAATTTTTAAAAGTGTGATGCTTTATTTATTAAAAAAATGTTTAGATACTTAATCAATCAAAATGAAAAAGTTTAATGGTTTTTTCCATTCAAAAAAGAAAGTTTAATGGTTTTTTACTCAAAAAAATAGTTCGGAGATATAATCATTCAAAATGAGAAAGTTTAATTGTTTTTCATTCAAAAAAATAGTTTAGAGACTAAACCATTCAAAATGAGAAATTTTGTTGAGTTATATTGAACTTTTCCCTAAAATAGCATATATTGATTATACTTATAACAAAATTGATACTCTTACATTCTTAATCCAACAGGGTCGTAACAAAACATCAACACTTAAACATGTCTTCCAAAATACGTCGCGGCGGAATATGAACACATTACATCAAATAGTTACTTAAAGATACGGAATATTAATCGATGATGTAAGCTAAAATCAAAACACAATTAAACTGCTAACATAAACGGTCCTCAAGCCGGACCTTTTCCCTTATCGACCTCAAACTTTCTTGATCCTGAGATACACGCTAAAGTTAGCTTTACGCTAAGTAAGTTCATGGTTTTAACACGCCAACCATCAATCATAAAAATAAAATAAATCGGAACCAAATCATCATATCGGGAATTACTCATAATATCATGTATTTTAACAATAAGCATGCCTTGCAAATATTAAACATGCATCTTGCCATCATATTAGACATTTTCATCCACTTGGCACTGTGGGGCTCCGTCATTCTGTCCATCTCTGGTCAAGCTCAGAGGTGCCCTCG